AACATTTCTGAGTTTAAAAAAAAAAAAATCGGAAAAAAAAAAAAAAAAAAAAAAAATCAGAAATATTTACAAAAAGTGGATTTTATTTCACTCTTCCCCTTCTGTGATTTATACAACGGAGATTTAGAGCAAGGCTACAAGAATTGTGTTTAATTACGACATATAGTCATAATATTAGAAGACTAGCGATGCATTTTTACTAGTAGAACATATTAAAATCAAGAGAAAAAAGCCATTTTAAAGAGAAAATGACTTAAGTTATCAAGATCTTATGTAACTAAATTAGACCATGCTTACAGAAAATGTTTTATTTATTATGGCTTCTTGAATTTCAAGTAAATGTTTGTAGCAAATATGCATGCCCATAAACAGTAAAGGCATAATTTTAGAAGGTTTGTTCAAACACCGATTTTACTGAGAACAAAGTTTTTTTTAATGTATTTTTAGTGTTGCTGAAGTCAGATTTAGATGAATTTCTCTATGTGATAAACGTCTTTTCAGTGATGAAAGAGTTTCAAGCTAATTTTTGTCAAAATGAGACAATCTGAACGGGTTATTCTGACCAAAACTCAATTTAAATTTAATTCTGATTTTTAAACATTTTAATTCCATATAAAATATGTTGGTCCTGCTGTTTCTTTTATCTTTGCTCAACAAGTTATTTCTATTTTTTAAGTTGCTAAACTTGAACTTCATATGTTGTATTTTTCTTCCTCATTTTAAAATAAATATTTTATTTAAATTGTTTTTTTTTGTCTTTTCTGATTACTTAAACTATGCACAAGTAATTTTTGTTGCTATTTTTCTGTAAGTCTACATTAACTGTGCAAAAAAATATTTAAAAAACTGCTTTTAAAACACTAACAAGTATATTTTCGGGTCAAAATGTTAATAATAACACAAATCCTGGAAGTCGGATGGGAAAACTTCACATAGAAACCACCTGGCTGCACATTAACGCGTCTCTGTGAACAACAAGCAGTCCTGCAGCTCCCCTCTGCAAACCTCTGAGGTGAAGAACAAACAGACGAAGAAAAGCAGAAACAAACCAGAAAGGTCCAGCTACGCTCCACATGATGTGTCCAACAGTCCCTGAATGATCTCATCTCTTCTAGTTTTGCTTAAGTTCCAAAAAAGTATTAAACATTTTGGGGAGAAACCATATTTTACCTCCAACACATCGGCGTTAAAATGGAAACTTTCCTTACGTTTATTTATAAGACAATTTAAACTTTTAAAACCAAACTTGTCACTTTAGGGCAAATATTTCTGAGACATAAACTTCTTCAATGAAGTATGGAGTAAACATATTTTGCACATTGTACACCAAACTCCAAGATGCAATGAAAAAAATGCTGACTGTTTAGTATAGTTTTAAAATGGTAAACAGGGGCGATTCTGACATGAATGCCACCCTGGGCGGGCCCCAACAACATGAATCCCTCCCTCCTTCTGTGCCACTTACATAGGTTTCAAAAAGCTAATTGTTGGTTCAAGCTGTGAAAGGATAAAATACATTTAGAAAAGTTCTTAAAGTAAAGCAATATGCAGTGATGCACTTATATTTTACAAATCTCCTGATAAACATGTATGATAAAATGCTTTACATTTATGGCCAACTTAGTGTCAGTGGATCGCAAACCAAGTGAAGATCTATGAGGCAATGCTACGGGTCAGACTGATGTTTACTCAAATGTCTCAACAGTCACTGATTAACCCAAAAGTCCTGCGCTTGGATCCTCAAACTGCAGCTGCCTGCTTTAATCATTGAGGTGATCTGGGTGGCATTTATGGGACGGATGGTAAAACTTTCTCTTTCTTTTCTGCTTCAGTTTTCAATTTTCTTCAATTCGATTTGATTCTGCTGTAAAAATATTTTTTGAGATGATTTTTGTACCTGTTAAATACTTGAGTCAGAGACACAAGAAAATAGATAAAAATACTTGGTAAGACTTTGTGTTTCTTTAGTAATCCTACCAAAAATTACTTAAAATTTAAAAATACTAAACAAAACTTTAGTAGATGTCTCACAAAATTAGAGAGCTAAATGAATACACACTGCAAAAACACAAACTCTTACAATGTTTTATTTTGTTTGGTTTCTACTGCAAATATCTTAGTGCACTTGAAATAAGATAAAATTAAATTACAAATAACTTTTCATCAAGATACAGGAGATTGCTTGAAGTCAATAATTCTTATAATGAGCTCCAATATCTTGCTGAAGAATTACTTATAAGCTAGTTTTCTTATTTCAAGTGAACTAAGATAATTGCTTGAAACTAGACAAAAATACCTGGTAAGATTTTATGTTTTGCAGTGTGCTATCTTATCTTTATGCTTCTATGGAACTCGTAAACGGATACCAGCATCAGTTTTGTAAAATTTCAAAACTTTTGTGTTTTTCTTCCTCCTATAGGATTTTTACCTAGGAAGGAAAACAACTGTCTAAAATTGAATATTCGGCACTGTAACATATATTTACACACTCTAAAGGCATTAAATATTTCTATAAGCTGGTTTCCAGCTAATCCTGAACACACCTGTGTTTCTCCTGGGACGATGCTGTGCTCTAACCTCCGCCCGGCCGTCCCTCACCTCTTGTTGCGGAGGCTTGTTGGTACTGCCACCTCCAGGATGGTGGCGACGAAGCGGCCGGAGATTCTGTCGGTCAGCCTGGCCTTTGAGGATCCAAGCGCCTTCAGGGTGAAGAGTCTGGGCGAACTCCTCCGAGCTCTCGGTGTCTTCCACCTGTGCTCCTTCCCTGTGCTGGTCAACAACTGTGGTAAGGTGAGATCGAAGCTTTATGAAGTCTTTCCTATCTTTCTTTTCCTTGACACTTAATACACCCACTTCTTTTTAGATTTTTTTTTTAATTTGTTTTTTGTAATTTAGTCATTTTTCAACTACGATAGAATATTAGGATTATCTAAGAAAATAAATAAATAATTAAGTAAATAAATCAATAAAATTATGGGAATAAAGTCGTACGGAATAAAACTGTAGAATGACTTTAATTCATGTTATCATGACATTATTCTCCTACAAATTTGTCTTTGCAATATTATGATTATTTTCACAAGTAAATAAAACAAAATGAAAAAATCAAAAGCAAGGAAAAAAATCTAGACAAAAACTAAACAAATATCCTGTCAATGGCAAGAGCACAAAATGTATCATACTTTGTATCACTTTATATATGTAAACAGCATTACCAAAATCAAAACAGCATTTTTCCTCCATGTTTTTCAAAAACATATCTCCAAGAAATTGCGGCTGAGTCTGTAGACAAACTCATAAAAGAAAATAAACAATCATAATCAAACCTTATTGTATTTGCAGCAAATGATTTGTATGCAATTTTTTAATTTGAAGAGTGAAAAACACAGTTGCATCTCCTCACGATTATTTCACTCCCAAATCCCTCCAACTGAAGTGCAAGTGTTTCATCCTAATATTTAGTTTTCTCTCAGTTTTTTTTTAAAATTTAAAACCACTTCTGTTTACACTTGAAAATGAATTTATTATAGACTTAGGATATAGTGAATGCATTTCAAAGTAAATGAAAGAAATATTAAATTAGTTGGATAAACATAACCTGAATCAGTTCTAATTTTCATCTTTTTTAGCTGATGACAGCAGCACGCACCATCCTGGGGAGGAGAGGGTTCTCTTTGTTGCTGCGGCCCACCATCTACGCCCAGTTTGTGGCCGGAGAAAACGAGATGGAGATCTCCCAGTCCATGGGAAAAATGAGCTTGATGGGACTGAGGCCCATGTTGGCGGTTCCGATTGAGGAAGACCTCGGAGAGAGCATTGGGTAGACCTTAAATTCCTGCAGAGTTTTGTAGAAATTATTCATACCCTTTGTTTTTCATATTTTGTCACATTGCAATCGCACACTTCAATATATTTCACAGATTTATTATATCTCATATATCTTTGTTAAATATATTATATCTTTATTAAATAAAGTGGTGCATAATTGTAAAATGGAAAGATACGATTTTTTTTCTACTTTGAAGCATTTTACCAACACACAGCATGATACTTCCACTATCTTACTTTCTTGGTGGAGAGTGTGTGATACATTAAGATCAGACTTGGTTTCTTTAGACAAAACACCATGCATCATTTTCCTTCCACTTTAGAAAAAACATTTTAGTTTGGTTTGGTGAATCACACAAAATCTCAATAAAACACATTGAAGTTGAAATTGGGCTTGTAAAGTGACAAATTGTGGAAATAAATACTGTTACAAAGCACCGTACATTCAAAAAGGTTGGTTTTAAATCATTCATTATAAAAACCTTATTTGAGGCTTTGATGAATACAAAGCCTCAAATAAGGCTTATTGCTGTTGTAACTTCGTCCCCAACAGCTGAAAATAGTATTTTCAATGTTACACTCACCGATAGCTCACTGAAAAAGTGTTGACCTTTTATTAATGCCAGCTGGTCAGCTCAGTTTTTGTTCCTCTTCTAATGTCTTGTCAACCTAAAATGACACAAAGCATGATTTTTCATTAAAAAATCTATTTAATGAAATCCTGTTGTAGTAATTCATGTTTAATCTCTCACTTTGTATTTCTACTCATATTAGAGAATCATAATTTATCCCTGAGGGGAAACTGTTTATTTGTTGACAAGCTACTCCATCAAAATGTTACATATTAGCAAATACAAATTATAATCATATGTGAGATAAATACACTGCTCAAAAAAATAAAGGGAACACTCAAATAACACATCCTAGATCTGAATGAATGAAATATTCTCAATGAATACTTTGTTCTGTACAAAGTTGAATGTGCTGACAACAAAATCACACAAAAATCATCAATGGAACTCAAATTTATTAACCAATGGAGGCCTGGATTTGGAGCCACACACAAAATTAAAGTGAAATGTTCCCTTTATTTTTTTGAGCAGTATATATTCATAACTGTGAACTTACATGTAATTTAGATATAAAATTAACAAATGAAATAAAATAAAAACATTGATATACATGCAAGTATGTACATGAAAATATGCAAATTTCAGAATGAAGAGAAAACATTAAGACTTGGTATTGACTTAGATTCATTTTAGTTATTGCATTAATCCCTAACCCTAACCATTACCACTATGTTTTTAAATATAAGCTTAACCAAAAATTAATTCACTCCAGAAACCTTTAAACTTGACCCACAACATTAAAAATGGCTTTGGTCCTCATAAGGACAATGGTCTTCAGAGGGTGGGTGAATGTACCAGAAAAGGTCCTTAACAGGCACTAAAGACAAGTACACACACACACGCACGCACACGCACGCACACACACACACACACACACACACACACACACACACGCATAACTCGACAACATTAACTATAATATTTGGATGTGTGTTGAAATGTCATAGTTCTAAGCAAGCTTTATCCCCACTAGAGAAAAGAGATATGACGACAACATGGCGGCCATGTTGGAATGTGTGCGGATGTCCCACAGCAACGCCTGGAGCAAAGACCCGATGATGCAGCTGAAGATCACGGCTCTGCTCAGCCCGGAGCTGTGTGTAAGGATTAAATATTAAACATTTATTTTTCCTTTATTTTGTTTTTTCTTTTGGTTTTTGAGGCTTACCACCAACACACTGACAGCCTTGAATTCCTTCACGTATGAGGGGGAAAAAAAAGATAAGAACGCACGTTTTAGTGTTTGCGCTGTCAACAGCTGCTCTAAGTTGTTTCTGCCGACTCAACACTAATTTCCCCAGTCTAGCTGCCCTCCGTTTCCATCAGTCTGTCTCTCTGTCATGTTGATCTATTACTGAACGTCCTTCACCTCTTTCTACTGAGAATAAACTGTTTGTGTCAAAGGTCAAACTCACAACCCTGATTGCACAGCAGCCATACGACCTGAGCCTCCTTGTCCGAGCGATGGATGGAGAAGTAAGCCAGCAGTCCACTGAGTAATGTAGATTATGCAGTGTATTTTTCAAATTTTATTCACAGTATCATTTGCATTTTAAATAATTTATACTGTTTTTCAGATGGTAACGTTTCCTGGATTGGAGGAAAAAGAGGCGGCTCATTTCTTGTGTGGTCTGCAAAGACTGAACAAAGTAGCAGAGGTAACCCTTCCCACACTTATCTATTTGTAATGGTTGTATTTTCACAATGCAGTTGCAGTCAGAAGTAGTTTTATGGGCAATCTGGCACACACGTATTGTTGTCATTGCTGTACTGTAATATATTTGTTTTCCTGTCAGTCGTTGTGACAACAGTGACTTATTTTAGGATTCACCCACATCCATATTCCTACTGTTCACAGTAATAAAAAATGTATTTAAATGGTATTCCATTTAAAAAAAATGTTTATCTTTATCTTTTGTGATGTTGCTGTAATAATAAAAGTTACATTGTTAAATGTTGATTATTTTTTTAGGCGAGTGTTAACAAAGTCAGAGTGCTGGTTGATGCAGAGTACACCTACATGAACCCGGCTCTCACTCTGGTCACCATGGCGCTGATGAAGAAGTTTAACAAAGATGGCGCCTGGATCTGGAACACCTATCAGTGTTATCTAAAGGCAGCTGTCAAAATCGACAGTTCAATAACTTCTACAAACATCTGAGCATTTCCACTGTTTCCATTCACTGATGGTATGTGACAAGCGTCTCATCTGTCAACCAGGAGTCCAGGTCTCTGCTGTTGGAGGCTCTCAATCTGTCGCAGGCTGAAGGTTTCTGCTTGGGAGTCAAACTGGTACGAGGTGCATACATGGACAAAGAGCGAAAGCTGGCAGAGAAGGAGTGCCAGGTGGATCCCATTCACCCGAGCTGGGAAGAGACCAACAAGAGGTTGGATGCACAGCAAATAACAAAGTTAAATCTAAACCTGCACTTAAATTATGATCGCCATCTCAGTTTCAAAATGTCAACCCAAAAGTACAGCCTGGAAGCAACATTTGAGCCACGCATTAATGACCTGCAGAACATTTGACCAACAGAATGAACCAAACTGGCTTTATTGCACAAAATAATGAGTTCAGATGACTGAATCCAAATCTATATTTTCATAAGTTTTTAATAACACAGTGGATATTTCATTAGAATCTAACTCTAAATTATTCAGGGAAAATTCATAAAAAGACCAAAATATTTAAAATAAAATAGGAAGCTAACTTACTTAACCCGAGGTGCTATTGAGCTAAAATGAGGACATAATGTTTGTTTAAATGAAATAAAAATTGAAACTTAAAAATAATTTTCAAACCAAAACAAAAGGTTTTAAACTGAGAAAGGAAACTGAAAAAGATTTGAAAACTTTTCAGATTCAAGTTTTTGTTGGTTCAGATTTTTTTTTCAGTTTTATGCCTTTTATTGGTTCAAAGGTTTTTTATTTTATTTTATTTTTTACAAATTTTATATCCTCAATTTAACTCCATAGAATCTTTATAACCCAAAGAGCCGTTCTTGTCAAAATCTCCTCATTAAAACTTGTCTTACTGTTTGTCTTAATGCGTATTACGGCTGTATTTAGTGCATAAGCGATCAATGTATGCAGTTGTAATTATTTTCATAGGGGTTCTCAAGCATTTGCGGATTTTAACTATTCGTGGTCGGCTGTGCACCGAATGCTGATCTGAGATAATACCGGACGTCCATTGTGAAAGTGTTCAGTCACTGCGAAATCTAAAACTTGTCTCATCTGAACTTGCTATGACAAAAAAGTGATCTATGTATTCATTTAATTTTCATTTAGAAGTCAAAATCTTCATTAATTCAGACGTTTTCACAGCAGAGTGAGAATTAAACATTAAACAAATTTAACATTCTACGACTTCTTGTGGCAACAGTTATAACGGCTGCCTGGATGTGATGCTGGAAGCCATAGCACAGAAACCGGACCGCTACAGGATCATCGTGGCCACTCACAACGAGGAGTCTGTGAGACGAGCTGCTAAAAGGTAAGGACATAAAAAATACTTCATAGGGTTATTTTAAAGGAAACTTAATTAAGGATTTAAGGAAAAGGTTTGAAGGAGAGAAGTCACTCTTCTGTTTAGAAAACTAAATATATTAACTGTGGGAAGCTTACCGAGTTTTAAACAAGCAGAAACACATAAAAGCTTTAAAGGGCATTGTTTGACGTGGAGTTAAATAATGAGCTTTAAAGGAATAAATCGATATTTAAGCTCAATCGAACATCGTGATGAAGGCTAGATATATTAAAGGGGATCTAATATGCAAATTTCACATTTTGCACGTTTTTGTACTTTCTTTTAAGTCTCAACTACTTCTAAAACCAGCCCAACCACTTAAAAAACACACTAAACAGACGTGTTTGGTGTGTGTCACATTCGCTGCTTCAAAAAGTGACAATCGACTAGCATTGTGCTATCACCTAGCAACCCAAGCTGAGGTCCAGCATGTTCGGTCAGCTGGTTTTACTGCTGTATGCACTGTGCAATGGCTTCTAGAAAAGACAAGTGTTTTGTTGTTGTCTTACCATCCAGAAACCACTTCCTGTAGTCTTGTTTATTGTACAGGATGCTCCGGTTCTGCTTTTCAAAGATGCATAGTTGTATATTTACGGATCTGTCTGCAGCCATTTTTATGTGAGAGTGTAAAGTGTTGATTTGGGGGGTGAATCCAGCAGCAGCTCATTCTGAAAGGAGCTCAAAAGAGGCAGAACTGAGCAGACTAAAATCTAATCTAATAATTCTGTGGAAAAACATAACGAACATGTTCTCTATAGACCATAGACCTGCCCTAACCTGTTCAAGGAAGCATAATACTTAAGATCTTTAAACATTCATAGGTTCAAATATGCTGGAATAACTCCCAGGTTGTAGCGGAGTATCCTGATCTTTTCTCATGACTGTAAAGGACAGGAATATTTAAAGTTTGAGTGTTTAAAATGAACATTTGTACTTTAGGATGGAGGAGTGGGGGATAGAAAAAGATGGAGGCTCGGTGTGTTTCGGCCAGCTACTGGGGATGTGTGATCACGTCTCCCTGACACTGGGTGAGATTAACTCGTATTTCCTTCATGTTGTACAGAAGAGCATCACTAACGTTGACTAATGTTTTTTCTTTTGGCCAGCAAAGGAAGGTTATCCTGTCTACAAGTCGGTTCCATACGGCTCAGTGGACGACACTCTCCCCTACCTGGTGCGCCGGGCCCAGGAGAACCGGACCGTGCTGCAGGGCATTCGCAAAGAAAGAGACCTGCTGAGGCAGGAGCTCAGACACAGAATGAGGAGGAGCATGAGGGGTGGCAGCTAATGACGAATAACCAACACAGACTGAAAACAAATCAGGAAATTGGTGTAAACGCTGCTGCTACTGAGCCATTCAAACAAGAAAAACTTGTCTATTAAGAACCTTCCAGCTTATTTCCATTAATGTACATGTTTGTGCTTTGCTTAGTGTAGTTGTTTTTATTATTAAAATGTATTTTATTGCTCCCATCACTTTCAAACTATTAACATACGTATAGGTAATATAAACTTCAGGTAGAATCTGAGGAAGTGAAACAAAATATCTTAGGAAAAAACCGTAAAACTTCAAAACTTCTACAAAGATGCTAACAGTTATTAGCATTTAGTCTAACGGCAATCAGGCACATTCATAGATATGAATGCCTGGATTGCCATTGAGTGTTGAATCCTAAGTTGACGTCGCCGCCATCTTGGATATGGGAGACATCGATGAAATGGCTTATTCTCCTGGATAAATTACTTGTGAATTTTATGTAATTCTAAATAAATCCCGTGTTTTTACACGTTACATCCCACAGCGTTCTGCACTCTCCACTTTTTGTCGTTATGTATGTGAACAATTTATTTCAATGGATGCTGATCTTTTATTCTTGGTCACAGTAAAAGCAGAAGTTACCGCAGGCACGTTGACGAATGTTAAGACAAAAGTTACAAAGCTAGCATATATGTTTACAGCTGAATGCATACAAAAATGAATGAATTTTGTTAGCCTAATAGCACAATTGTCCAAGTCCTATTTCTAGAAAACAGGACTTAGGCTTAGCTAAAAGGATTTAGCAATTATGCTAATGGACTCAAAAGTTAACCTCAAACTGTAAATTTGTACTTAAGCACCTGCTCTCAAACCGATACTCTGTGTATATCCATGTTTTAGCTGTAAGTTGGTTTGGTTCATCAAGAAAATGTACCCAGTTTTTTCTGTTTGCCTTTCTGAATAAACCAACTCAATACACAGTGTTTATTTATTTTTTTCCTTTATTACTGTTTTCCTAAGTAAATAATAGTTAACATGTTCTAATTGACCACGCTGCTTTGCTACAGAGGAGAAAATCTTCAGGGTTCGGTACTGAACGGTGGTATTGTTGAGATATTTCATAGATTTAATGAAGCAAGTTTCAGCAGATTCAGGATAAACTGAAACCATTTTTCCGTTGGTGGTTGTTGGTGGTGTGGAATGAAAATAACTCCAGGTAGAAAAAGTGACAAATAAATCCCAGCACAATTTCTAAGTTCAGTAGTTGCTCTGGTTTTGATTCCTGTAGCCTCCTCGCTGGTAGCCGCCCTGCTTCTGCTGGTAGCCGCCTTTCTGATCTGTTAAAAGGTCAACATTTAAAAATTACAATCAGCATTTAAAGAGAAAACCAGCTGCATTATTCAAAATGTATGCAGGGAGGAGCAGGCAACATAACATACCTCTCTGGTATGGCTGCTTCTGCTGATATCCGCCTTTCTGATCTGAAAATCCAAAGCAAAGCAAAACTATTTTTTTCTGAAGGCATTTACAGATGATATCTGTATAGAAATCAGACTGGTATGTTTCATTAAAATATTTATTATAAATTAAAATCTAAAGTTAAAAGAAACCTAAAACAGGAAACCAACTTAAATAAAAACTCCTTTGAAGTTAACTTCCATCTGGGAGTTCAAACATCACCTGGTTTTTCCAGATCTTTCTCAGTCTAAGACAATTCTTCCATATCAGATCAGAATTTGTCCCATTTTATTAAAAATAACAGGATTAAATCCACGTTTCCCATCCTGCTCACCCCTGTTGAAGTATCCTCCGTAGACGCCCTGCTTCAGGTCGAAGATTCGCTCGTTGTTCTCCACCAGGCTGCCCAGTTTCTCCGCCAGCTGCAGAGCCATGTTCTGCAGGGAGGTGGGCTCTGTGCGGTGCATCACCACCGTCTGCGTGGGCTGGTCCAGCGACGCCTGTGGAGGTCGGTGCAAAAAGCTCTTAACGCCTTTAACAATTAACTAACAGTTGGAATTCATTGGTTCAATACTAAGATTTTTTTTTATGCCAATAGGAAGACTAAAACGAACCATCAGTTCCTCATTGATGATCATTTTGCTGATAATACTGTGAACGGTTGGGATCTCCAGTTCAAACATCTCTGACAGAGTCTCCATGCTGCAGATCACAGACAGAAACAAAAATAAGCATTTTTTATTTTTGCAGATCTGAATGTCTTCTAATATATTCCAGATGTCAGTTTGCAGATTTTATGGAGCAAATTAATCAGATTGCTTCCACAGACTAAACACAGAATTGTCCTTTTCTTCTCCATTTTTCTGAGCTCCTATGAAAAAAATTAATAAAAATCCCAGATATTTTTCATATCAAATCCAACTTTAAGCAATTTTTTCTTGCTTTCCTTTCTAGAAGAAAAAAAATAGTAAAACTGACAAAATATTTTTGGATTTCAGGATACAATAATTTTCGTTTAATTACGAGAATATAGTCACAAAACGGCGGCTCTCGGCGCGCTGACATCACTCTGAGCCAAAACAAACCCCAAAGAGTGCATTGTTGGGAAAAAAATATCCAGATTTTCCAAAAATGTAACCATCAAAAACAAAATATTCGATAAATCAATACAGTTGGTTAATCTGTACACGTTGCGTTTACCTGATGGAGTCGTACACACTGCTGTAGGTGAACAGGTACGTCCTCAGGGATTCCTCCTGGATCTTCCTGTAAAGGGTTTTAACAACATTAGGTGGAAAATTGGAGCCGTCATTCCATTAAAAGCATTTAATCAGATTAATCACACTACGATTTATCAATATGTCCGACGTTGTAAGCTTGAAATATAAATATGCACAGAGTTGTGGTTCTTGCAGGAGCAGGGCCCTTGGCAAGCCCTTCCTCCTGCTGCTCTTCAACCAATTAAAGTGCAAGAAATTATCTGATTTGTTTTTGAAGCAGAAGGCAGGTGATGTCATCAACAGAAACAAAGGGAAACTTATCCGGCTACACATTCATACAAATGGCAGCAAACTTGTAGTTGGGACAACTGATAGATAAGATACAATTTATTTTAAAGATCCTGGTTGTGCCGCCCCTTTCTGATGTCACCCTGGGCATCTGCCCATATCAAAAACCACCACTATGTGCATGTTTTCAGAAGATGTTTTACTGTGTGGAACCAGGGATCAGGAGGGCGGAGTTACCTGACGAGCATCTCTCTGACTCGCTGCGTCTCAGGAAACAGGTCCCACACTTTACTGTTCATCTTCTCATTGATGATGAACGAGTGGCAGGTGCGCCAGTCGCCCATCTTCATGGCCTTGCTGGCTGCCACCACGTGTTCCCTCATGCTCTCCGGAGGTCCTGGGGGTCAGAAAGGTTAAAGTTCATCGTCTCTGCTTCCACAGTGAGGTGAATCCCTGACGGAGGGAGTTCGGAGGATTGCTTCGTACCCAGCAGCGGCTGCCTCTCTCCCACTCGGAGCTGGTGGTGGAACTGCTTGCTGATCATCCTGCGCCGGGCGTCGAACTCGTGGGCCGCCATGTAGGGGATTTCCAGCAACATGGCCGACACCAGGTAGACACACTCCAGCAGCTCCAGGTTGATGTGCATGTGGAAAGGAACCTGCAACCAAAAGGTGCCATCTTGGAGTCACATCATTGCAAAAAACACAAATATCACCAAGAAGGTTTCTAGTGCAAATATCTTAGTGCACTTAAAATAAGACAAAACTAACTTAGAAGTAACTTTTCAGCAAATTATAGGAGCTTGTTTTACATCAATAATTCCTTAATATTCATGAAAAAAGTACTAGTTCCAATGGCAGATTATTTCACTTGTAACATGGAAAAATATATTGTTTTAAGTGAAATAATCTACCAGAACAGTAACAAATTGAAGAAAGCTAATAAAAAGAAATGACCTTTTGTGAAGCACTGACTGCGTTTCTGTAGGGAAATCTGTTTGGATGTGTCGTCACAGCCAGAAGTGACTGGATTCTTTCATGAGTTCATAATTATAATTTTAAGACATTGTTTACATCCAGATTTACTGCATCTGTCTTTTTCTGGTGCAAAATAATGACCCAAATCTCACATTAGAGACATTCGACACGACTGTTCAGACTGCAGACGCTTTGTTGCACATGTATCCGATTTAGTGCCACCGATCTGATGTTTTGGTCGTTTAGATTGCCATTAAAAAAAAAGGTATTTTGTTTACATTTGTCTGCTGTGTGAAAGTAGCCAAAGGTTCTTTTCACACCTGATAGTCCGGTAGACTCGGTTAGATTGAGGACCAAAATTGCAACATTTGTTACATTTTCAGCTGCTGAAATTCCTCGTCTCTTACCTGTCTTCTCTTCTCGATCTTCTCCTGCTCAGCGTTCCTCTCCTGCATGTTCCTCATCAGCAGCCCTTGCCCCAGCAGCTCCTTGGCTCGGCCTGATGACTGGATGTCCAGCAGAGCATTGTGGGCGTCTTTAATCATCCCCTGTCTGAAGGCGCAGATGCCCAGCTGGACCATGGTTCTGTTGTACAGGATCTTCAGGAAGAAAAACGGAACAAAAAGCCGATTATTCCCGTTCTCAGGCTGAGTTTCCGGTGGCCTTGAGGGGACCGACCTGCACGGGGGGGTCGGCGTGCTGGATGTTGTCCTGCAGGTGGCTCATGAGCATCAGGTCGCGGGCCTGGTACCAGCGCGAGTGCAGGGCGTGGTGGTAGATGTGGCACAGGATGGCGCAGGTCCGGATGCGGTCGGTGCGGTCCTTGGCGTAGATGAACTTGCAGAGGCGGTCCATGATGATGGCGCTGTCCTCGCCTTCGCTCTCCTCCTGGTCCTGCTCCGACTAAACACATAATTCAGAAAAGCAAAAAGTTATTCTGCTCTGAGGGAGCCGCAGCTCTTCCCACGATATGCAGTAAATTGTCCCAGAACTTAATAAACTATGTTATTACTGTTTTGAGCCCATTTTCAAATAATATAATGGTAATGGCACAATAATGCAAGTACTAGGCCTGTTGCAATACACAATAAATCACAGGATAAATGAAAAACTCAATAATTTAAATTTGAATGGTTTCTTGTTTTTCTCTTTCTACCAAAAACTGGATGAAAAAAGTCTTCAGTCTGGTGCTTCTCGCTCAACCAGACGTCTTTGAAGAACTTCACAGTTTAGTTTATTTGTTGTTTAGTTTATTTAATTTGGATATTTAAAGTTTTCCAGTTCAGTGTTAAATGTTCATTAGAATTTAAATGTAACTCTGAGAATGTGCTCTCGCACTGTTATACCACTACCATTATTGAAAACAGTTTAAAAACAACAATATTATCATTTAACTGGAAAAAGTAAAAGATGCACTAAAACAGGTAAACATAATTCATTACTTGAGAAATGAAAGTGTCTTAAAAACAACAATATCATAATTTATTGTAATTTCTGGGACATTTTATTGTTAAGCAAATGAAATATCACGAGTGCACATTCTAAGAGATCAACACACTTTAATTTCTAACAAACATTTACAATGGAACTGGAAGAGATTTTAAATATTGTGACTTTCCTAAAATAATGCCCAGTTTTTGGTTTTTAAATAAATAACTAACTTTGGAACTTAATTATGTTTGAAAGGTAACAATATCCCAAATAAATAAAACAACAAATAAAATTGATACTGAAGTCTGTAAACACAATTGTAATTTAAAAAGAGGCAAAATAGAAGAAAAGAAATTAACGCAAATAGAAATGGTCAGGCTTTTTAAATTTATCCTGCGATTAATAGATTTATTGCTTATTGGGGCAGCCCAGTTCTTCCCTCCACACATGACCTTGCCTCACCTTGGTTTCTCCCTGCAGGCCGAGGCTGCGGCGGTGGGCTTTGTAGTCGAACTTGTAGTAGGTGTGCATGATTCTCCGCAGGTAGACGCGGCAGATCTCCTCTGTGGATCCTTTGTTCTCCAAGTAGGAGAGCAGCCGATCGATGAT